GTGGAAGTAGAACATCACACTGTCATGAATATTGTGCCAGTTGCATCTATGTCAACAATCTGCCCCTTTGGCTTCTTAGTCAGACCACATGCTACCTGCAAGAGGACATGATATAAGGACTCAGAAAACACTAAAAATAAGGTAGCCCCATATGGTTTAGAAACAAGCAAGGAGGATTCCCCCCCCCCCCAAACCTTGCTTCGAGCAGTAAGAACTGAAGTAAGAGTGCGTGATTTCTTCTTAGAGTTTGCATCTCCTGCCCTTTTCTTGTTCGCAGGCTTCTCTTTCTCAACTTCTTCTGAGCTTATGTCAATGACTTCCTATCACGAGTACCACATCAGGGAGCCTCACAAGTATTGTGTGGTTTATAAATATGAGGGGCTCTTCTACCCAACAAGCTAGTCTTTTGAGATGGCTCTCCTTTTGGGCTTGTGCTCATCACATTGGTGCTTTCATTGAGAGTTCAGTGTCACAGAAAGGACTACCCATGGAGGGTTCTGACCGACAGAAGGCCGAGTAAAGTGCCATGGAGTGAAGCCGTCGGGGACGTCGGCTCTTGACGGGGTGGCATTGTCATGAGTCCCACATCAGGGAGCCTCACAAGTATTGTGTGGTTTATAAGTGTGAGGGGCTCTCCCACCCAACAGGCTAATCTTTTAGGATGGCTCTTCCTTTGAGCTTGTACTCATCACACTTCCCTTTGAGCCGATCGGTGGATCATAAGTAGAGAGTGAAAGGACGTTGATGTACATGCGATAGCTGCAAGAGTTTTTTTTTTTGGGGGGAAGAGTAGAGTTGTGCAAATGAATTGTGAGCCAGCCCACCAAAATAAATGGGCTAAGAAAATTCAACCTAACTCACATATTGGCGGGCTAGTGAGCCTACGGGCCAACCTGCAAAATGCAATTTTGTATTTTAAAATGATTTAAAATTTATAATCAACATATTATATATGTAGACAATGATTTTTCTTATATTATTTTTTGAAATAAAATTTGAATATAAACTCATTATTTTTCTCAACGAATTTATATTTGTTATTTCAATTAATAGATCTTATAAGATTAACAAATAATATATATTCAAAATATTTTTATAAAAATTAATAAATAATTGATTTACAAACTATAACAAAAAATTCATTTGCAAATTGTATGAAAGATTGACATTATCTTTCAAATGTAAAGAATATATTTGGAACTTATAAATTATAAATTTGAGAAATATTAAACAAATAAATTTTTTAAAAAATAGGTTAGTTTACGAGTCAGCCCGTTTTAACTTGCCATTTTTGCAAGCTATTCTAGCTTAATCCATTTTAAAATTAGGTTAATTCTTTCAACTTAACTCGTCAAAGTTGGCAAGTTGAACGAGCTAGTTTGTGAATTCAACTCATTTTTCCAACTCTATGGAAGAGAATGTAGACCTACTATGTTTAAAGAGATAGATGTTAATTTCAAGAGAATGGCGAGAGTGAGATTATTTTAAATTTAATTGTTTAGAATTTAAAATATATTAAATATGAGTTTAGAGTTTAAATTGTTTTAAAACTTATAATTCAAGATTTAAATTGTTATTTAATTCTTTAAAATTTCCTATTTTCTTGCATTTTTAAATGTATCCTTTAGGCTTTGGTTAAAGTCTCTAGTAATTAGGGTTGGGATAGCCTATTTGATTGAGACTATTGAAGTTATTCTCTTGGCTTGTTAGCCATTCTTCTCCCTCTTCTAAATCTTCGTTTTCTTCTCTCCTCTTCTTTACTTCTTATATATCTACCTTATTTTCTTTATGTTTGCCATTGGTCGAACATCATTTCTTTTACTATGTTTGCAGAACACTTTGGGAGGCCCAATCCAAGTTTTGCAAACCCAATTTTCATTGAATGCTTGTTGGTTTGCTTTTGCCAAGTTAGGTTTTATTCATTAAATCTTAGTTTTCCCAATGCAAGTAGAAGGCTGCTTTCGTAAAATCACATCTTCTAAACTGAGTTTTCTCGACACCATTTTCTTTGACAATAGCCAAACATCCACTTTGTCTGCTTTTGCGTGATGGCACTATTTTGCTTTGACACGGCGTGAAACATGAACATGCATCAATTAGACGGGGTGCAAGTAGTGTAACCCCAAAGTCACACGTGTCATTTCCAAATTCTTGGGTTATATTGTATTTTAAGATAAAGCAGCAAATTGACAAATTGCTTAAAAAGCTTAATTTGAAAGAATCATATAAAAGCAATTCTCAATGAAAGTAAACTTTGCCTAGGTTTTGCAAAATTAATTTGACATGTAACTTGATGAAGATATCCAAAACGGAGAATTAACAATATTTTGTGTGTGTGAATAAAATCAAAAAACAGATTTTCATGACAAGCCGGTAGAACAGCTCCCATTGAAACTGGCATTTCTTTTTTAATTAAGCAAGATAGATCGTTAAACTCTGCAGATCCAGAGATCCTTTTCTTTCTCATGCTTAGAATTATTTCAAATAAATTAACAAACAGTGAAAGGTCCTTTTCTGTCTCATTCCTACTTATATATTCCAGATATTCCAAGCAATTTATTTATCTGAACCCGTGGACCACAGACATGTTAAATCACATAAGGCATTTTCCAGGCCAAAAAATATAGTCACACAAGGCATTCATCACGGGAAAAAAGTCTTCGTCGTCTTCTGATTCTGCTAGAATTTATCAGTGGTAGTCTTGTTGAAAGCTTGCTATTGTATTTAAGCTCTCAGTATGTTTCACTTTTCAGTGTTATTATCTCGATAATTGCTTTTACAATGTCATTAATTAAATGCACAGCTTTGGTGGCTAAGATCAAAAAAATCAAAGAGAAGCGGCAGAAACAGGATTGCCTTGAGGCCACTGCTGCTGGAAATAAACTATCTCTGATACCACATATGCAATTTGAATATTTAGATGTTGGGATTCACAAAGACCTATATAAACTTGTTTGTTATGCCTGTAAAGAGATCGTTGCAAGTAAGGGGTTGTTAAATAAAATGTTAAGAGTCTGGACTACCTTCTTGGAGCCGATGCTTGGTGTTTCCTCTAGGCTAGTAGTTGTAGAGAAAAGGAGAGATGGGCATTATGTTCCCAAATTCGATGCATCATATGTTGGAGATGTTGAACACCCTGGAGGTGATTCTTTGTTAATGAATTATAGGCAACCAAAATTCGATAATGAAGCTGATGGTAGAATGACTGAAGTCAAGAAATTTGACCAGATTTTCTTTGTGGCTAGCAATAAAGTAGCTGGATCTGTTGATGGTGATTGCCCTTGTAAAGATGATGCTCTGATGGGGAAAGGGCAAAAAAATGTGGATTGTAATGCTAAAGTCGATGACTTTAGTAAACAATTTGCCTATGATGCACAAGATCATCATGACTTTGTAGCCAAGTCTCAAAGTGGTAATGCATCTATGGTGGAGGTATGAGTTGTGACTTCTTGGAGTAATAATGATCTAATCGACTAATTGTAACCAAGTGTTGCGTGATCATTTTCCAGCATTTTCATTTCTACTTTCATTTGAATCAAGGGGCTTTTTAAATTAGTATTAATGTGCCTGTCTGTTAACTTGGTACTTCAGCATTGTGACGTGGCAACTCCAGTTCCTTTGGCCAATGGAGTTCTAATTCGAAGCAATAGCCAAGAAGAATTTGCTGGGCATTGCCAAATTGAAAAGGAAGAGGGTAAATTATCTCCCTCACTAAATGGTGTTTCTGAAGAGGATAACTGTGTTGGCAATGGAGATGCCACTATGCAGGTAACGCCCAGCTCAGAACTCAATCCCGCAAGAAGTAAATATCAATCAAGAGATGGGCAGCAAGAATGCCCTCTGGAGGTTGGGATTCATAACAATGCAGATGTTGATGATTGGGACATTAAAAATGCATCTGAAGGTGGTGGAGATGCCTCAGGTGGGGAGTTAGCTGGTCACTAATTCTCTCAGGAAGAGCATGAGGGGCAGGGAGATATGGAACATGATGATATTGATGATAAAGGTGAAACTGAAGTTGAGAGAATGTGTAATGCACAATCTACTGTAGATGGCTCATTGTCAGAAAAGTCCTTTTTGTCAGTGAAACCTCTTACAAAGCATGTATTGCCCGTTTTACTTGAAGAAAGAAGAGAATCCAGGGTTATCTGTGGAAATGATGATATCTATGTGCTTTTCAGGCTTTATCATGTAAGGATAGGTATTGTTAATGTCACATTTTGTTCATTGGTGAAGAAGTTAATAATACACTCGTTAATCTTGGCAGATTTTGTATGAAAGGATCTTATCAGCAAAAACAAATTCAATGAAGCGTAGAATTGCAAAGGATGCTAATTCTCCAGATCCATATTCAAGGTATCTCTGGGCATCTTGCACTGATCTTTTTTTTTTTTTTTGTTAAAAAAAAACTCCTTTTGATTTTTTTTTTTTTTTGTTGTTGGTCTAGATTTATGAATGCACTTTACAACTTACTTGGTGGATATGTTGATGACGCAAAGTTTGAAGATGAATGCCAAACAATTATTGGAAACCAGTCGTACACGTTATTCACATCGGGCAACTTAATCCATAAATTGGTTAAACAGGTATGTTTGTCTCTTATTCTGTCTTATTTTTCACTAATGACTTGTTTTACTCCTAAGGTTCTAAATGTCCTTTTCTTTTCCTGCAGCTTCAAGTGGTTGCAAATGTTGAAATAAACAACAAACTTATTCAATTATTTGAGTATGAAAATTCTCAGAATCCTAGTAGGCTAATTCATTCAGCGTATCTTGCAAATGCACATGTGATCCTCCCCGAGGAGAATATATATAACCTATAAGACTATGTTCCCCCTCTCCAACCACTTGGGAAAAGAAACAACAAATGAAAGAAAGAAGATTCAGACAGAAGCAATGCCTGTTTATTTTTTTAATGAATTGCTAGTGTTATTTAACTTCTTATTTTTCATTTTTTTGGCCAATCTGGTCTTATTGCAGTCATCTAACCCTTCCAAACTATCCATTCGGCTTATGGACAGCACGAATGAAATGCCAGCAGGGTTTACCCTTGATCCAAATTTTGCTGATTATCTTTACAATGATTTTCTGTCAGTCTTTCTTGTCGGAACCCCGTGGCTTTATGCTAGAAAGGTATAGATGCTGCAAAGTGTAATATGCGTGTTTTGGTCTGTATAAAACAAAAAAAATACATATATGTAGGTTTTGGTAAAAATCATCTTTTCCTGATGATGGAAGCAAAGTCATCAAAACTATATTTTCTTTTTCCTTTTGTTCTGGTTATAATAAGAGCATGTAGGTTTAAAACTAAGGCATTCTACCAAATGATTCAAAGCCCTTGCAACTAGCCCTGTCCATGGTGGCTTATGTCCTAGATTTGTTACGTCCAAAATATACCAATGTAATTCTTGTTTGAGTCCAGGCCAACCTCACGTTGATTCTCAATTTGCCAACAGTGTATGCTGTGTCTAGATGTTCTCAATTAGTAATGCATATCTTGATGCTCTTTCCAATGATGTGTGCAGGAACAAGCGCAAACATGGTGCTTCAGATGACTTTCCAGATATGAAGGGTGTTAAAATAATTAACAAATTGGACCATGTGATGGCTTGCAACTCAGCCGAGGCATGTAGTTATTTTTCTACGTTTGCTGGTGTTCCGTTTCGATGGTTTAAATATTATCACTTTTTCTTCTGAGACCGCCATTCATCTTGTTTTACTATGTTTCGGGAGAAGTTATTAAGTTCCTTATACATGAATTATGCTAGATTTGCTTGAAGGTTCCATTAGCATTCTGCTATTCTTTTCCCTCACTTGGAGGGTCTCATTTGCAGATAAAGTATGCTCCGTTCACAGAAGACGTCTTCTATCGTCGCCGAAAGAAGCGAAGAACATCGCGGGAGACTGCATCTACCAATCATAACAAAGCTAGAGTAGAGAGATTCCACAGGTTTTTATCAAACTGCGAGGGAACAGCTCCATGGTAAAACTAACTACGGGGTTGCACGGAGGCCTACTTTGGAACTGCTCCGAGGCAATTACAAGGCTGTAAAGTGGCCTTACTTTGCACAGCCAAGCAACTGTATCTTTAAAACAGTAGCCAATGCTCAACTTCATCGACATTTTCACATGAGAAGGAAGAGAGTAGACACGGGACTGTATAGATGTGGGGGTATTTTTTTTTTTTTTTTGAATTACAACTAAGATCAAGAGCTAACAAAGCTTGCAAATAAAATCAAGAATCCCCTTATCATCATCCACTACCTTCAAACGGTTGTATTCAAAAGATAAATACTCACTTGCTCTATCTTAAGCAAAGTTAGCCAGAAAATGAGAGATGTGGGGGTTTTTAGGGTGTCATTTCTGTCAACCCATTTTTGTTTTTTGTTTTGGCTTTTTTTTTTTTTTTTGGGATTGTCATAATTTCTGCCGATCCTTTGTAAAAATAATTTGCTGCTTTCCAGTCTATATGTTTGTTGACCGCAAGCGTTTCTCCCTTTCGGCATCCTTTGAATTTGGTTGATTTTTTGGACCTTCCTATGTGTACAGGACAAATAAAAACATTATGATATAATTTTATGTTAATATTAAAATAAGTTCTAACTTATTTTATTTTTTAAGGAACAGCTGTAAACGACAGGAAAGAAATGTCGTAACACAATCTTTATAACAAGTACACTGCAAGTAATTTCTAATTTCAAAATTCTAAATGAAGTTTTCGTTTTTACACTTGCAAACTATCCATTGTCTTCTCTCGATGGCTATGTAGTTGAAAGGGAGGAAATTGATATTGTAAGTTTTATACCTAATTATGAATCTCATACATAACTACATTATATTCAAATGTATCTTCTTTATGCACTTATTAAATGGAGAGGATTTTGCAAATGGAGTGTTTAAAACATTCCAGCCATCTAACTAACGTGTTCACAGGGAACGGGAGTGGACAGAGGACCATGTCAATTTTGAGCATCTAATGTACATCTTATCAAGATTCAAATTTATTTTAAAAGGTTAAAATATTTCTAAATATAAATCATTTATTTTTCAAGTTAATACTTTAAAGATCAATATTATTGTCTGTCTTCGTTTTTTTAAAAAAAATTAGATTTAATGTTGATAAAAATAAAATTTTGTAATAGCAGCTTTAATAATATTTAAATCATTCGAATTAAATTTAAGTACGATATACACATTTTAACTTTTTAATAACGTACGTCATGCAGAAAATACAAATGATCATATTTTGCTGAAGAGAGTGTTTGGTGAATTTTTGCTTTTGCTCCCCCCCCCCCAAAAACACGTGATCACTACTAATCAGATTAGTCCATTATAAAATCAAAGTTTTACTTGTTCATTTTAAATACACGATTACCATTCAACAGGTTGACATGAAGCCTCTAGCAACTCTAATAAACGTTTTTTTTGCCGAGTGGAAGGGCCTTAATTCAGGTGAAATATATGATTCGGCCAGCCTAAGTATCGCTCCAAGAGAAGTTTGATCATGCCAGCCACACACCAAATAAAAAAAAAGGAGCTTACCTAGAAAACTCGGGGAGGTCTATGCCTGAGTGATACGCGTATCGGAAATGCATGTCATTTTGGCGTTTCGGGATAATATAAGGATTGGGAGGCCAAATGAAGGCATGCTCTTTTTTGGTGCACCATGGGAAATTTCACGAACAGATGGCAGGGGTTATGATAAATCAGGATATGAGTGGTGAAACCAAGGAAGACGAGCAATTATTCCCATTTTTTTCATTGAAGAATATTAATGTTATAATAGAAATTTGAATAGGAAGGAAAAGAATATACACGCTTTTACCTTCTCTATAACAACCCAACGGCACAGCTTAGATGCAATCTGTTCTCCAAGCCTCTTAAACGATGACCCAATAACATACACCTGCCAGTGGAAAGAAAATCTCAAGATCACACACCCCACAAGGACTCTACTTCACTAAAGGAATTGGGGCTTCGTAGGGAGAGAGACAAGCTTCTATGAGCAAGCACATTGTAAAAGGGAACATATCACAGGTACGGATGTGATTGGTTAGAAGATATAGCTCACTCAATTCCAAACCAAAATAGGTAGTGAGAAGTACTAACCAGAAAAGCAACTTTGCTAGATAATCACGAGATGTCTCTACTTTATAACAAAACTCATCATAACCATCTGCCTGATTATCTGAATTTCTTCCAACTGAGTGCTCCATAAAATTTGGGTTAGCATCATCTGAAAAGAATCTCCTCAATATGTTTTGAACAAGTCGCTGAATTATGTCTTTCACTTCCAATGACGAAGGCCGAGACAGCTCAGTCACCTGTCAAGACTCAAGACGAGAGATTTCAGCACCCACTAGAAAGAACAAGTGAAAACTGGGAAAATAGATGACGGTGCAGGTGACTTTTTTTTTTTTCTGGAGGGGGGGCGATTGGGGAGCCTGCTAATCTCTAGTTTTAAGGACAAAAATAAATTGAACGGAAGAAGTTTTGAGTCCTTACCATATCAGGATCCATAGACCGTAGATAATCCAACAAATCATTCCTGTTCCCTCTGTCATGCTCTATTTGTATTATTTCGTGATTCTGAGCTTTTAACTCCTGAAGAAAAATTGTTATATCACCTTAGAATGCAAGCCTCACTTTTGTGCTTTTAAAATAGCCTTAAATGAGTAATCGAACTCTTTAACTTGGGATAGGAAATTTTAGACTACAAGAGGGTGGTGCTTCAGTCATAGTTTATTCAGACAAAGGATTGGGTCACTCCTAGATTTTAGCATTGAAGATGGTATAATCAGATTACAAGGCCATTGGAAAGCACTTTAAACTAAAAAATGTAAATATCTCAGCAGGTATTCAAAAAAAAAAAATACGAAGCAAACTTCTCTCAAAGTATTAGGAAAACAAGAAGTCAATAGAAAAAAATACATAATTTTATCAAAACCAGATTAAAAAAATCTAATGGCATACTCCCTTCATTTCTGTATAAAAGAGAAAAAAATTAAGAAAGTTGGTTAATCATAATAATTAAATCTAAAATCAAAAAAATTGGACTAAAATGCCCTACTTTAGTCAACATAAGCATGCATTAATTATTTCCCGTTAATATAAAATATGAGGGGTGATTTAAAAAATGTGTAATAAATGCTTATTGAAATGAATGATTTTGCTCATATAAAAAACAAATAAAAAGTGATAGTTTTTCTAACAATAAGCGGAGGAGTATAGAACAAACAGCATCCACTGAAAAACCAATAAATGAAACCAACTTAGGTAACTTCAGAGTCCCAAAAGCAATAGGAAATGTAGCAGAAAGCCATCAGAAGTGAGCAGACACAACAGAGACATTTCATTGTTTCAATGATTAACTTTCAAGGTTGTGCACGCAAATCTCATCATCAGGCTTTTCATTTTGGAACAGCCTTCTAACTCAAAAGAGTGACATGAACTCCAAGACTCCAAAAGTTAATATCTTTTAAATATGGAAACCAACTAAAGTTGGTGTGAGTAACAGAGGCTCTTGTTATTTAAGCAGGTGATTGGGGTTCGAACCCCAGCCCTTGTGTAGATAGCACTTATACTTACCCCCAAAAAAAAAAAATGATTCAGAGATAAATGACTTGTTAACAAGACAACAGTCCGGGAGGAAGAGAGCATCTAAAGAAAGAATTGAGTTCCGACTTCTGAGGCACTTCAGCGTTAAACTTAATCACTCAACAGAAAATACTCTGAAATCAGGTATACGTTGTACACATACAAAAAGCACATCACACAACTGAGAAGACTAAAACTCATTGATCTGAAGTCTCACTCCCGTTTTAACATATCATCACTCAGAATATGACATTCATGTGAGGCACTATAATTTCGGAAACACAAACAAGCACTGCATTAAATTTGCGAATCAAAGAGAAAAGTTAGGATTTACTTTTTCTGCAAATGTTAACTCAGACTGCAACTTCTGAATGTAATTCAGAGCTTCAGGAGGCAGATCTGCAAACAAGCGAGGGATGCAAGGTTCCGAGTCTTTGAACGGCAAATGAGGACCAAATTCAATTTCCCTATCGTCACCGCTTTGCTGCCCCGAGACCTCCATCTCCGTTGGACAATTGGACCCCTTTCCATCATAAGGTGTCATATCGAAATTTCTCATTAGGGACATCCTATACTCAGCATTCCACAGAGTGTACCTTAAACCAAAGTAAATGAACCATTTATCACAAAAGGCTCATTCACCATTAAATGCTTGAGGTTAAACATAAGTAATAGCTCTAATCCAAAAGAAAATAATACCCGGTGATGATGGATGAGACAAGAAGGCGATCAAGAGGACGCTTTGAAACCGTAATGGTAACGGACAATTGATCAGACGGTAGCAAACCTAACATCGTAGAAATGGTCTGTTTCATGGAATCCTTCGCGGAAGTCGAAACACCCTCGGAGATAACGGATGCGTCGAGAGGCTCAATTCTCATGAGCATGTTCTCTATGACAGTGAACCCACGGTCAAAGGATTTCTGAGTAGAAACAAAGTCATCGGACACGCCTCCGCCATCAACGCCGGAGATTAAGCACCGGACGAGAGACACAGACGAAGCCAAACGACGGCGCCTGAGGGAGACGGAGAAGGAAGGAGGAGGGGGCGGTTTGGTGGGGTGGAAAGGGTTGGGTGAAAGGTCATTGATGCGGGAGAGAATGAAAGCTCTAGGTGAGACCGCCATGAAGGAGCTCAAGCTGTTGGAAACAATGAGTGTGCGCGTGTGCGCCCCAGCTTGCGCGTCTCGCGCCCACAGGGCCTTCAACAACGATGAATCTGGCTTCAACTTAGCCCATCAATTTTGTTTACATGGTTGTTTTGTTCGCTGTTTGATTAAGGATATGCCCTCCCAATTTGTCTGAATTACGCATTTGTATTTTATAAATTAAACAAATAAATCATATCACATTATTTATATAAATAATAAATAATCTGATTTTTTATATATATAAAAAATTGTGTAACGTAATTAGAGAAAGTCATACAGAGCGTAAACTCATATTTTTACAACAGGAGAAACTTTAGAACATGCTCCATAGTGATTTCCTAAACTTTTCCCTGATCTCTATTTTCTCAGACAGAAGTCATCCTCATCGTCCCATACTCCCACATTCATGATTGATTATTTTGTGTCCAATTTAAATTCTCAAGATCGTTATCACAGGGGCAATGACAATTCATCTTTATTTAATATTCTCAAAATCTTTGTTTAGATTTGTGCAGCTGGTGAGGATGAAACGCTAATGATTAATAATTATGGCCAACCTTTTTTGTCTGTCATCGATAATTATAGTTCTTACTGTAAAGATGCTTCCATTAAAAAAAACGACTATGAAAAACATTCTGCACTACGCCACTATAGCACCCCAATTAAAGATAAAAATGCTACGCAAGCTTCCTTCAAGCGTTAAAGAAAGAACGGGAAGGCACCTAAGTAAAGGCAAAAACACAACATCCAAATTAAGTTTAAGTCTAAGCATGGAATTGAGGAAAATAGGTGAATCTCAAAATTTCAGTGGTGGCAGACGGCCCAGGAAGCAAGGGCTTGAAAATTTAAAACGAATCTAAAGGACACAACAGACCATAGAATAGAAGCTGCGCAGCCGCAAAGAACGAATGGGCCATATAGGGGACCTAGTGGCGCGTCTTAGCGGCTTAACACCACAAAAATCCCAAGATTCTTTCGGAACGACGTTCCTCAACACCCTTGTTTATGAATGGTGACCCTATTTTTCATCTCTAAAATCCCATTTAATTTCAGGTTGTCGTGCCTCAATATCTAATTCTGTCCAAACAAACAACGTCCATCGCCTATCACGCATCCTCATTTGTTGACAACTGCGTTGCACTTTGGATGTGACCCTCCTGTACTGTTCGTTATCTGCAGTTATAATCTTTTTCTCATGACGTTCTTATTACTAAAATATGATAACCAAACAAAATAAGCAACCTTCGTAAATTAGTTATTTACATTTATTGTGAAAAAAAAATTAAAAATTAAGATAAATCATTCACCCATCTAAATCAATACGAACTAATAAACATAATCTGTACGCGTATGCTGTATTCAGGATAAATACATCTTACGCAATAAAACTAATCAAATGATTTAAAAAATTTTGGATATACTTTCTCGAGAAACGGGCAAAAAAACCCTCTTAAGAACAATGTTCTTTTTCTTTTTTCTTTTTTACCTGGTCGTACTTTAATGTTTAATATGTTTCATGATTGATAGATAGTATAAACGACAACAAATTTTAGTCTTTTCATGAGAATCATAAATTTTATTATACAATATATATTGATGATTAAACATCCCCCCCTTTCCAAAATAAAACGAAGGAGCCATCATGCAGTCAATTCTGTACGTAAATGACAGCGCGTAGGAGAAATCAACGTTAACAACCAGAGGGCAATTCTCGGTCTCAGGCATCTTGAGAAACGAGAAAATGTGCAGTGCAACGAATGCTATCTACTCATTTCATTGAGAAAAAATGAACACGTATATTTCACTCTGGGGGTAAAAAGTGGAACATCGGTATATGCTAATGAAAAGTTAGAAAATTCACCCCCCATGAATGGAGATATCTGTCGCCGCGCTGCTGCTTCAACAAGCCACGACTTACACGCAGCAATGAGCAAAGAGGTCGCTCACTCACAGCTGTCACGCCATCAACGAACTCATCCCTTACAATTGGGTCACTGCAATGGTTTAGAGCATGACACGAGTCATATAACATGCAGAACAACACTTTGATAGTTTGACTAGTATTTCTACTGCATTCATTGTAAGTATATTACCATAAGCTGAATTTCATGCATCTAGTGTCAATAGTTTTCAAAAAATTGAGATCAGAACAGTATAACTAACAAGAGAGCATGACACCACCAATAGAACAAGTACAACCGCCACTTAAGCAAATGAAAGAAGTGGATGCACGTCGTGATTCTTTCAGTGAAGTGCGATACAAAATTTCAAGTGAAACGGAAGCACAACTCAGGTGAGCAGATCATAGTCGACTTTCAACTGCACCTTTGTCCAGGATAAAATGACCAAATATTTCCTAGTTCTAGAGTTTAAAGGACGGAAGACTTCTAACCACATAAACCAGAGTTTACAGGGCACTTTCACCTCTTCCTTCTCAGACCTCAATGAATAAGAGTAAGTGAAAGAATAGATCAGTCAAATCAACAAGTACTGGCTTTAATTTGAGCACGTATACAGACCCCCTTCCATCATATAATCAAATTAATTATGCAAGGCAGAGGTAGATTTTAATGAACGTTAGAACATGACATTTAAAAATCACCTTGTTTGTGATACTCAGGGCGATATTTAGAACTCATCGTTTCTATGTCATGAACCTGCCTCATATGTCTGTGCTCTGGATCTTCTCTTCTAAACTTGACGGGAGCAAATGGGCCAAAGTCTATAGATTTTGAACTGCATTTAGGAGGGTGCTCCAACGTTTTACATCTGTATTCATTTTCCAACTCATCTTGTTTTTTATACACTGGCATAATCTTTTCATGGGTCCGCAACTCGATTGAAGGATCTGTTTTATTTCTCTTTAAACTGTAATTTGTAATTTCCGCTCCAAACACTCTTTTCCTGGATGCACTTTGATCCAAGATGCCGTTAGATTCTCTGCTGGCTTTTCCTCCCAACCACCTATATGCTGTTTTCCTATACTCGGGATGATTGGTCTGCACATGTTTGTTTGGGGGGAAAAAAAGAGCTTCAGCCAAGATATGTTATCACAATTTAGGCTCGCCTTTATCAAATTTTGGGAGCTTAAGAAGTATTTGTGGCTTGTTTTACCTTCTCAATCAGATTAATGGATGAAAGAACATTCGCTATGTCATATAAACGTCTGACTTTTGCTGCATATCCATATAAGATAAAAGTGATAGTGTTATTCATTTTGTCCTTCCTTTAGTTGACAATATAATGTGAGATGAATCACTTCAAGGGTGTAAGTGTAAAGCCAATTACTTCTCAAGGCAGTTGAATTCTGGGCATCACCCGGCATTATCTTTGCAGCATCTTCAAGCAAGATAATTTCAACCTGAAAGAAGTGATAGCAGTGCCAAACCAATCAAACAACTAGGCAAACAAAAATTTAGAACATGACACATAGAAATATCACATACATCTGAACAGAGGAAGAGCTTTATGAAATTCTCCGTCAAAAGTGCTAGAGATTTGTCTCTTCTGCAGCCGTCTATAAATAGGAATGCTCTATACATAAGTCATTACCAAAAAATAATAGAAAGAATCTTGCACTATCATTGACCAGTCTGCAACGGAAAATTTGAGGCATATTTTACAAGGACAAGAGATATTAAATGTTCATAATTGATTTTGCAACCTGTCGAGTGAGAACAGGGAGGAAGAAGAGGTTACCAGTTTTGGGCAATGTCATTGCCAAAGGATCGGTTTTGGTTTCAGAACCACTGGTTTCTTTGTCCTTCGATGCCTGGTAGGTTTAACTCAAGGGTCACAAAAAATTCCAAAATGATAGTATGAAAGGAAAGAAACATGTAGATGCACGATTGAAACACAACCCATTCCACCAAGTTTCTCGGAAGGAAGTTCCCAAGATTCAACTAAATCAAAAGTTGGATCCTCAGCTTCCCGTCCTCGTGTGTGTACCAGTGTAAGTATGGTTAATTTGCCAGCAACGGAGCAGCCTTAAAACATTTAAGTCACCAAATTAAAAGGCCAAACTTACTTCAGCTGGCCTGCAGTACGCTGCATCAAATTTTTCTCTCATACCCTCTTCCTGCGCGTATAATATAGCACAGGTAACCTCCGAGTTATCGAGTTCAAACAAAACACTCATAAGAAGGAAGGAAACGTCTGTTTACCTTAAGCTCGTTCAAAGCTCGAGGAATTTCGCTGAAACCTTTCCATAGGTATAGATTTTTCCCTTTTCTTGCCACGATCTAGAGATTTGCATGGGGGAAATATCAATGATCACAGTGGTTCAAAATAAACAACGAAAATATCATCTTTTTAAGTAAATCATAAGACATAAAACTGCGCTTACTCCAACACTCTCCAATATGTTGACTACATCATACATGCGGCGACGCTGAACTCCTGGAAATTCAAGTGAGTGGTTAATACCAGAACCGGGATCTCGGAAAAAGCAGGACCCATTGGACAGTCAGACTCTCATCTTGCAGCTTCTCAGCAGCTAATAAATATTCAAGGAAAAATGGAAACAAAGTGGAAGTAAGAGCAAATAAAGACGTAAACCTAGTCGGGAAGCAGCATCGTCGAGTCCAATCGTCCCAATTCCTTCGCGATTATATAGTTTGAAGAAGCTGAATGCAAATAAATCATCTTCAAATTAACATAAAAATCCAGAAAAACGAAAAGACAATATTCAAACTCCAGTGAATCCAACAGATGAAAAAGGGGGTTTACTTAGAACAAAGTAACCCAAGTGACTTGTCTTTCCGGGAGTAGATCTGTGGGGTGGAATCAGAATCTTGAGGAACAGATGAAGACATATCCACCGAAAGAGTGGAGCAAGTGGCTAGCTGAGGGAGATCCTTCGAACGACGCAATCGGAATAGCGGGACCGTTAAAAGGGGGTGGGGAAAGCGGTGGCTTGGCGGGCTTTCAATTTCGAAAACGTGGTTTTGGAATTAGGGTTCAGAATTTTAGTTCTAGATTCGAAAGCGAAAGAGACCGTGCGGACTCACCCATATATTATGGAATCGGAGCGTTGTCGTCATGGACAACGCGGGAATTCAAATTCAGATAAATGGCGCCTTTGCTTCTGTTGGATCTATCAGATGCTGATGAGAAAATTTACATTTACATTTGCAGTCAAACTATGTTTAGCAAAAATTGCACGACTTCATTGTATTTTTCAATTTCAGTCAAACTATGTTTAGCAAAAATTCACATTTACTAATCTATCATGCAATTAAAATTAAAAAAAAAACTGTTGCACAGTGGCAGTATATTGAGCCAAAGGAAACTTTTTTTTTTTTTTTTGCGTGGGAGAAACTCCTTGCACATCATCTTCGTAGATATGGAATTAAAGTATTAATTAAATTCATTGGAAGATAGGTTGTTGCGAGAGAAAGAATAATTTTGATGTTATCTTTTACTTTCTTTCAACATATTATGACTTGTATAAGTATTCATTTGGTCAAGAGAAAAAGTGTGGCTATTTACAATAAGTGATGACTATCTTTTAATATAATTTTTTCTTTAGCCTTAAATGTTTGCAGAGGGACAAGAGATAATTTCTCGCATCAGAGTATAACGACGTGAGACAATCCTGTTTGTTTTCTCTTATCTAATGATCGCATTATACATTTTTTAAACTGTAATTTTCCTGCAACTTCAAGCAAGCAAGTGGTGGGAGAAAAAGCAAGGGGAAAAAGTCAACTGTGTCACTGTATTACTGCCTAGAGAAAGTAAAATATGATCACATCCTTTTTATTTTATTTTATTTACAAATACATCTTATTTATTTTTAAAACTTTTATTAAAATCTATAATTACTACACAAACGGTTAAGTTATATATATGAGATTAAAATATCCATTTTTTAAACTTAAATGGTATCCAAAATTAGTTTTTTTGACCAGTGTTATCTAAAGATCATTTAACTCATTCAAAAACCTTGATGGATATATTTGCACCCTTTTATTCATATTTTAAATTAAAATTTGTTTCGTGTGCAGACTTATTTATTTAGCATTTTTTTAAAAAATTTTAAATAAATAAGTTAATTGAAATAATATTTTTAACACGTATCTGCAAAAACACTTAATATAATGAAGTCAAGAGAAAACAAAAAGGAATCAAATTTCATGAACTTAGTATTTAGATGTGCGTGGAATGATTTTTGATGAAATAAGTGTGGGATACGTGAGAAAGTAGGAACAGGAATAAAGGTGAGAATGAAATTTAAAATCTCGTTCGATATGTCAATGAATTGATGGTATAATTTTTATTGAATATTTCATATGATAATATTTCTTCTTATGTAAGTGTTTTTTTTTTTTCTGGCAAACCAAACCGCATTGCTATGAGAAAGCTATGAGTTGTACATTGGTATTTAAAATAAAACACAAATCTAAGGCTACAGCCAAAAAATAGGGTATAAGTTACCATGAAACTTATCACGTGTGGTTAATGGTAATTGTTAGGGCTATTTTTCCCTTGCTGCTTAAAATGATTGAAATCTTTATTGAATGGATGTTCATAATGTCTTTCACCGAGGTGATTGAAATGAGGAAGTTTATATGTAGCTTCCCTGATGGCTTGCTAACGAGAGGGAGAACAAATCATGCAAACTTCAGATTTGTTTGTTTTTTATTTTTAAAAATTATTTTTTGTTTTTGAAAACAGGAAAATTAAAAAATTTGTTTAATTAAGTGTTTTTTATTTAATTGTTTCTAAAACTGTTTTCATTTTTATTTTTAAAAACAAAAAATTAGAAACAACTTCAAATTGTTTTTATTTTATTTTCTCGTTTTAAAATACACTATACTAGATTATTAAAAATTATAATTATCTTGATTAATTTTTATTATAAATAATTACCATTGACTTCCTATAACTATTACTATCTGTTTTAAAATTTTAAAACTGTTTTTAAATTAACATAATTAAACAAATTTTTATTTTATTTTGTCTTGAAAACAATTTTTAAAAACAAAAATAAAAGCAAAAACGAAACAAGCCCTTAATAAGTCCCTGCATTGCTCAAAACAAGCCTCTAAGCACTAAAACACTGATGGTTTCCAATAGAGTAAAAATAATTATTCCTTGTTTTTTAATGCTACTAGAGATGATAAAGTGCCGGTATTGGTCTTTGCTGATTATTTATTAATAACTAAGACTTCCTTAATAAATATACAAAGGATAAAAATATGGACGAATTTAGAGGGGGCAACGGCCTGCTCCTATATCTCTTTGAAAAATTTTAAAATTTTAATTGTAATAAATATTAAATTAGATTTTGGCCTGCTTACTTCATTTATATTTTCAGTGCAAGGTGACTAAATTGCCTTGATGTTTAAGAATAAACAGTGCGAGTGACACAGAGAAATTCGCAATCAATGTTAACAATTTTTTAAGTAAAATTAACAATCTAATGAGTCATGATAAATAATTTTTACACAAATTAAATAATGTACAAATAATATCATGGATTCTATGAGTAACATGAGAAAACTATTACAAGTAATGTTAGTAATTTTCTATGAAAAATTAATAATTTGACAAGTTATGATGAATGGACGAGTAACATCATGAAGTATAACAAGTAACATAAGAAAATTAATACATAATGTTAAAGATATTATAAGTAAAGTTGATAATTATCTTAAATCATTCAAGAAGAACATTTTGATCACTTTATTTTAACATTTTATTTCACTTAAGTCCCAAAATCCCATAATGTAATTTTAGATTTTTTTTTTGTTTGATTTATAGATAACTAACTACTATGGTCTTTAGATGAAATTCTTCCCAAAGCAAATTCCCAACATCCGTAATAAGAAAAATTTAAACAACTTGATGCTTATTGTGAAATTATAATTATATTTAAAAAATTATTTAAAAAATGTACTCCTTTTATTAAAAATATAAGACATTTTTAATATTTTAAGATATAATTATTGTATTTTTTTTAAAGTGCTTTTATTAAATAATAATTTTATATTTATTTTAGAATGAAACATCCTATTATATAGGGATAAATATGAAAAAATATTGTTAGCTTAAAAACAAGTAACTACTTTACTGAGAAAGCGAGATTTAATTAAAATGCCTTATATTTTTTAATAGAAGAAGTAGCTTTTTATTTTTTAATAATTAACAATCACAATAAAACCTAGAAATCCAAATCTTAATAAATACTCCATTCGGTCATATTTATACTATACATTATATAAATAATTTTTGATCTAAAATATATGACACCTTGTAATAACTAAATCATTTTTTAAATTTTACCCCTTATTAATTAGCGTGAAGGTATTTAATATGATTGTATTATTATTTAAAGTTAATGATAAAAATAAAAGTACCTTTCACTTTTTTATGATATTAAACAAATTTTTAATATGCGTGAAATTGTTAAAAGTTTTTTATAATAAGGGCTCGAGGGATTAAGTGGTAGAATTGAAAAAAATTAAATACTCTACATATTTTTCTCCCCAAAATCTTCTTTATATTGAAGACATGGAAGAGTTGTCTTAAACCTAATACCTCATTTGGTATATTGAAAATGATTTTGATGGGAGCGGGAATGGATATGGAGTTGGAGATGGATATGGAAATGGAGTTAGATATAAAATTTTAAAATATGTTTGGTATATCGATAAAATTGAAAAATTATTTTTATTTGATATTGATATTTAAAATATAAAAAAATAAAATGCTCTCATAACTCGGTAATTGAAGCTTGGCTAGCACTATTAAAGTGGGATGAAGAAAAGCTATTGCCATCTTTCTACTATCAAAACAACAATCAACCTTCCAAAAATTGTAATAAATTAAAACTCAACCCTTTAAATCTGTGAAGGCATGAAATAAAATAAAAACAAGAAAAAAAAACTAAATGAAACCATACAAAACCCAAAACCTAGATTTGAAGGTTGTGGCTATAACGAAGAAATGAAATCACCCAAACTCCAAATGCACTATAGAGAAGAAATGAAATCAAATTTAAACAAGAAACAAAAAGATATATAGATCACAACCCAACAATCAATTAACTAAAAACGGTAAGAGATTGTAGATCTAAGAGATGAAAGAGAGAGAAAAGATCAAACTAGTACTTATGCCTTAGAGGATTCGCTGATCTTGCTATTGGTGATGATGATAGAGGTCAGAGGTTGCCATAGAGATGAAGACCGTGTACGGTTGGTCGTCGATGGTGATTTCATTGTTTCAAAGCTTAAACACTCCCTCTCTTCATCGATGGAGGTCTTGAACGGTGATAGGAGTGATGAGACAATGACGGGTATCAGGTTTAGAATAAGGAAAAAAGACGGAGTCAGAGAGGATCGTTAATGAGGTCACCGATGACTGGTGGTGAGGTAATTGAGGGTGTCGTGGAGGGGTAAAAGAGACAGATGATTTAACTTTTATGGAATTTTAGCCATTTTCATAGGTTTAATGGCGGAACCCAATTCCACATTTTGGTAGAACTGAGTTCCATATGAAATCAAAAATCTGACATACCAAGCGGGACAAATTTGAGTTTCATGTTCAATTTCATTTTCATGGCACTAAAATCCTTCATACCAAATAGGCCGTAAGAATTGTTGGAATTGGAATTCTATTTGACCAACTAGCTTACTTGCCAACTTGACTTTAGTTACTGCAATTAGATAGAACCTTGCGTGTGCAGTAATATGTTATACATGTGGGGGTGTAATATATGCAATATATAGAGAGTATCTTTCCTTTTTTTTTAATATGTATTTTTTTTATAGTTTTTAATTCTAAATTAAATTGCTATAATTTATTTTATTTTCATAAATTCTTGTAATTTAATCAATTAAATATGCTAATCCCTAATAATTAAAATTCTTAATTTTTTTTTAAAAATGAAATTAGAACTTTTACATTTTTATTAAACTATTATATAATTTTAAAATTAATTATATAAATTTTATAACTCAAAATTTATATAATTAGATTATGTTTTCTAAATAAATTATATATTTATGATTTTCATAATAATTAATAAAAATGAACATATTATAGTAAATTGTTTCTTAGCTAAACATTTTAAATTAATTTTTTGGTAAATTTTTAAATTTTTTTGAAAAAATAACCATTTATTAACAATTTTAATTTTTAATAATTAATATATTTAATAGATTAAATTATAATAATTTAATTAAGATAAAATAAATTAAGGGCTTTTACATGTCATAAGACTAAGTAAAAAAAAAAAGCATATCTTTTCTTAAATTTGAAAATTAGCCTTTTAATATTTAATTTATAATTAATTTACAAAATTATCGTTTTCATATATGCTTTTTGTAAATATCAGAAGATTCAAGACATAATAAATCTTTGAAATTGAATGTAATGAATATGAGATATATAATAGAAAATAACTTTTTTTAAAGACGAATGCTAGAGAGAAGAAAGAATTGAATGCAAGAGAGACGAACGCAAGACATTATAGCAATGTGAGCAAGCTATAGTCACAATTGTGTGAGACAAATACAATATGAGATACATCGATGGTACTCGACGAAACGGAGCACGTCAATGGAGAAATGGAGCAATAGATTCATATTTTTAATTTATTAGTTTAGGTATTTGACTTTCTATGATAAACTAAGAGTTCAAAATTTTTTGTGAATTATGTTTGATTCATTTTGAACAAATAATTATGTGTTTTTTGTATCACTAATTCGCGATACCATATCATTAATATATTGCTGTATATTATTGATATACTGTTGTAAATCAACATAATTAAATAATTAAATATCAATTTATTTATTATTAATATATATATGTATATTAATGATGTAGTATCACAAATTAACAATAAAAAATACATAATCATTTACCTAAAATAAATCAAACACGATTCGCACAACATTTGATGTTACCGAGAGATTTAAAGATGGTGAAAATCTGATGACAGATAATAAATTTTAGCTTGGTCTTTTGCTTCCAGAAATAAAAATTTCTCTTTAATGTTTAATATTCTCTTCATAGTGTTCTTTAAAAAAACAGAGAAGGAGAGAAAAAAAAAATTCTGCGATGAAGAAAGGCACCGACAATTTTATATTTAAAAAAAGAAATGATTCAGAGGAAGAAAAAGAAAGATTTGGTCAGTTAAAAAGTGATTACAATAAATATATTATATTTTAATAATAAATTTAATTTAAAAATAAAAATATAAAATATATCTTATTGTTTTAATAAATGGATCATATTTTAAAATATTTAAAAATTTTATCTATAATTTATAGCAGCTATATTTTTTTAAGACTATTAAATTAATTTCTTTAATAAATTATGAAGAACTAATTCAAAATAAAAAAAAATTAGAACGACTTATAAATTAATTTTTCTTCGGTAAAAGGAAAAAGAAAGAGGAAAAGTAGCCTTCTCTTCTCCCTCCTGCTGCACCACCTCTAGGCGATTGTCCGGGCACCAGCAAATCTGATATGATCGTATGAACACGCTGGAGTAGAAACAGAAACAAGCATTTTTCAAGCTTTCATTTTGGAGGCAGAGTCATGCCCTTCTCTTCCTACATTAGCCCCGCAAGGCGTGGAGCCTGGGTTCAATCAATGCTTCCATCATCCTCAAACACCAAATCCAAGCTTCAACCTAGAAAGTCACGCAGGCGAGCCGCTCTCAAAGATTTCTTCCTTGCTAATTTCTTCACGATCGGCCTCGTTTTTTCCCTCATCCTCTTCATCTTCGTCCTCATTCGGTTTGGGGTCCCCAGGCCTGTTGCTTCTCACTTCAAATACCGCGCATCTCGCTACCGGAAAAATGTCCGGAGGTCGATATTGGCTAACCGTGGGAACTACTCCCATTTGGTTGCTAGTGTCGACATCACGACGAAAGGCTTGTATGATAAGATTGAATTTCTGGACGAGGATGGTGGGGCTTGGAAGCAAGGTTGGAAAGTGTCTTATACAGGAAACGAGTGGGATTCCGAAAAGCTGAAGGTCTTCGTGGTACCCCATTCCCACAACGATCCCGGTTGGAAACTGACTGTGGAGGAGTACTATGAACTGAAATCTCGTCATATACTTGATACCATTGTGGAAACACTTTCGAAGGTGAAATCTATTTGCTCGTTTGTTTTTTATCTTCCTTTTCTATTTAAGGGTTAGTTTGGAGGAGGGGCGTAAATTTTCTTGATCACATCAGTTAACTTCCCACTTCAAAGTTGCACAACGTATAAAGATGCACTGCATGAGATAACAAAAATTTAAAATGTCGCTAACTTTGTTTCCCTCACAGTTGAGTCCATCGTATATCCTTAAGTATATTTTAAATGCAGGGGAAACCTTTCGAGTTTAAGCCTGTCAGTTCGTTAGATCGTTTTTGGACTTCTGTTAATAGCATTATTAGGCATCAATTTGAGAGCAACTTGGCCTATTATATGGACTGAATTGTGGGTACCTGGATATGCAGGATGATCGTCGCAAGTTCATATGGGAAGAAATGTCTTACTTAGAGAGATGGTTTAGGGATGCGGCTGACGAAATGAAGGAATCATTCATCAATTTAGTGAAAAATGGACAATTAGAAATTGTTGGAGGTGGCTGGGTGATGAATGATGAGGTAATGCAGGTCTCATGAGTGATGGCTCTTATCTTATTGACAGCATTTTTTTTATAAATGCTGTAACTCCAGATTTACTTTTTTTTCCCCTTTACTAGAAAGGAGATACTCATGCATGGATGAAAAATTAAATTGAGACCTGCCTTAAGCTTTACAAAACAAAGGCTATTTGACATACGAGTTCATCCTCCTGTTATTAAATTCGTTCTCTATAAATGTATTCATGTTTGGAATGCTTTTTTCAATGTAAGGATCTTACAAAGCTTCCCTGTTCATGAAATTGACCTGTGCTGGACCCAATGGTCTATTGGTGGAAATTTGGCTCATGTTTAATTTTTCCCCCTTTCTTGCAGGCGAATTCCCACTATTTTGCTATAATTGAACAGGTATCCTAAGGCTTTCTCTATCCTAAGCATTGGTTGCATTGCTTTTCTGTCTTGCTTGGAACTGTTTTGCTTATCTGTTGTATTGATATAGTAAAATGATGTTAAGAATCCCTATTAACACATTTTGTCTTGCATGTCTTAGAAATGGTTTCTTCCACCCTCCTTTTAGCAATATAGTAAAATTATATGGAAAATGTTTTCTGAGGATACTAGAAATGATACATTGAAATTTGATTAATTACTTAATCAAAAAGTTGATATGAGAAACTGTTGTTGATTCATGGTTAGTATTTTGTGTCTTTATTTTGGACATTTTTTTGCATCAGATGACAGAAGGAAACTTATGGTTGAATGACACCATTGGGTTTGTTCCTAAAAATTCTTGGGCCATAGATCCATTTGGTTACTCATCTACCATGGCATACATTCTACGTCGAATGGGTTTTGATAATATGCTTGTCCAAAGGACCCATTATGAGCTGAAGAAGGAACTTGCATGGCATAAAAATTTAGAATACATATGGCGTCAAAGCTGGGATGCCGAGGAGAGTACTGATATTTTTGTCCATATGATGCCCTTTTATTCATATGATATACCCCATACATGTGGTCCAGAGCCAGCTATATGTTGCCAGTTTGACTTTGCACGCACTAGCGGTTCTATTTACGAACTATGTCCATGGGGACAGTATCCTGTAGAGATCACTCAGGAAAATGTTCAGGAGAGGGCACTTAAATTACTGGACCAATACAGGAAGAAATCTACTTTATATCGAACAAATACTCTCCTCATTCCTCTTGGAGATGATTTTCGTTATGTTAGCACCGACGAAGCTGAATCCCAATTTAGAAATTACCAATTGTTATTTGATTATATCAATTCAAACCCCAGTTTGAATACAGAGGTGAAGTTTGGCACTTTGGAAGAATACTTCCAAACCCTTCGTGATGAAGCAGATAGAATAAATTATACGCATTCTGATGAAACAGGGTCTGGCATAGTGGTAGGTTTTCCTTCTCTGTCTGGGGACTTCTTCACTTACGCTGATCAGCAGCAGGACTACTGGAGTGGCTATTATGTTTCACGACCATTCTTCAAGGCTGTTGATAGGGTGCTAGAGCAGACACTTCGTGCCACAGAAATGATGATGGCTCTAGTGCTTGGGTTTTGTAGGAGACAAGTATGCGAAAAGCTTTCAATAGGGTTCTCCTATAAGTTGACTGCAGCCAGAAGGAACTTAGCTCTTTTTCAACATCATGATGGGGTAACTGGTACTGCAAAAGATCATGTAGTTTCAGACTATGGAACTCGAATGCATACCTCATTGCAGGATTTGCAGATTTTTATGTCAAAAGCGATTGAAGCACTTCTTGGTATACGCTATGACAAATTGGATCATAGTATTGCTCGTTTTGAGCCTGAACTGGTGAGACTAAAGTATGACGCTCAACCAGTGCATAGAGTAATCAATACTCATGAGGGGACATACCAAACTGTAGTCTTCTTTAATCCTTTGGAACAGACAAGAGAAGAAGTGGTGATGGTTGTCGTTGACAGTTCTGACATTGCTGTGGTTGATTCTAACTGGACTTGTGTCAAAAGCCAAATTTCTCCTGAATTGCAGCATCATAAAAGTAAGATCTTTACTGGGAGGCATCGAGTGCACTGGGAAGTCTCTGTTGCTGCAATGGGACTGGAAACATATTACATTGGCAATGGTTTTATGGGTTGTGAAAAGGCTAGGCCGTCAAAGCTGATTTTTTTCTCCAAATCTGATTCATTTTCTTGTCCTACTCCATATTCCTGCTCAAAAATTGAAACTGATGGGATTGAAATCGAGAATCAGCATCAAAAGCTCACTATAGATGTAAAGTATGGTTTGTTGCAGAAGATAAGCTTCAAAAATGGTTCCCAGAATATTGTAAATGAGGAAATTGGCATGTATTCAAGTTCAAACAGCGGAGCATACTTGTTTAAGCCTGATGGTAACGCCCAATCTATTATTGAGGAAGGTGGACAGTTGCTGATTTCAGAGGGCCCTTTGATGCGGGAAGTATACTCTTATCCAATGACGGCATGGGAGAGATCTCCCATCTCTCACAGTACCCGTATATACAATGGAAAGAACTCTGTCCAAGAGTTTGTCCTTGAAAAGGAATATCACGTTGAGCTTCTAGGAGATGATTTTGACAAGAAGGAGTTAATAGTTAGATATAAAACGGACATTGATAACAAAAAGGTTTTTTATTCTGATTTAAATGGATTTCAGATGAGCCGAAGAGAAACTTATGATAAGATTCCACTCCAAGGCAATTACTACCCTATGCCTTCTCTTGCATTTATGCAGGGATCTGATGGGCAGCGGTTTTCTGTCCATTCCCGGCAATCGTTGGGTGTGGCAAACCTTGAAAAGGGATGGCTGGAAATTATGCTTGATCGTCGTCTAGCAAAAGATGATGGGCGTGGCCTCGGACAAGGAGTGAAGGATAATCGTGTAATGAATGTGGTCTTCCACATAACTCTAGAATCCAACACTTCCTTCACCTCAAATTTGGCTTCAGGTTCTTTACCTCTCAACCCCTCTCTTTTCTCTCACTGCGTTGGTGCTCACCTGAATTATCCATTACATGCATTCATTGCTAAGAAGTCACAGGAAGTATCTGTGCAGCCACCATCTAGATATTTTTCTCCTCTGGCGGCTCCCTTGCCATGTGATTTGCATATAGTGAACTTCAAAGTTCCCAGGCCTTTAAAGTTCTTACAGCGACCACCCGAAGACTTTAGATTCGCTCTAATCTTGCACAGGAGGCATTGGGATTCTTCATATGACAGAACTGGAAGATCACAGTGCAGTAATCTGGCCAACGAGTCGGTGAATATCTTCAGCATGTTCAGGACCCCTGCTGTTTTGAAGGTTAAAGCAGCTTCCTTAAATCTTTTGCACGATGATCCAGAGGTTCTGGGATTAACAGAGCAGTTTGGAGATCTTGCACAAGAGGGGCAGGTTGACATATCTCCGATGGAAATCCAAGCCTACAAGTTGGAGCTCCGACCACAACAGTTTTAAACACTCATAAATCAGTCACCATTGCCGCTGATATTAACGGGGTAAAATTCCAACAAACTGATTTTTGTTACTGCTTAACTACTGATGGGAATAAATTGTTCCTGTCTAAACTTCATTCTCATTTGTGGGTTGAAGTTTTCAGTTATGACTAAACGTCCATGGTGGTAGAGAAGTTGCAGCACCGCTTGAGGAAGCGTGTGGCGGGGTTTTCGTAAATTGCAATTCTTTTTTAAGATGGGTTTTTAACACGTGAGGCTTCTTTTTTAATGCTGTAGCATCTATGTAGATCTTTCCGAAACCAAAAGGCCTTCCGCTCTCAGGGGTTTAGATGTACATGTACATATTCATTACTCATATACATGCACAGCCACTGAACTCGTGTATTCTTTCCAATGCTTGATGCAAAATAGTGGAAACAGGAGCAAGAGACAATCCGTAGACAATTCTCAAGTGCCTATGGATTAGCGCTTATTGAATTGTCTTCCATAAATTATTAAATTTTTCGAAGAGGATTTGTTTATGGACGAAAAACTAAAATGTCTGGACCTGATCGATAAAAATTTAAATGATTGAATTTCACATGAGAATTTTATCTTATGGTGAATTTATGTATTCATATTTATCTTGATGCAACCAAGCATTCAAATATTCAAATTTATATGATAAGCCTATGTCATGGATACAATCTAAATGCCGAAAATTATCCAACTTTTGCTAGTTGGGCCTACCACATGTTTCAATTGGGTTGTGATTTTGGATTTTAAAAGGAGACGGGGCCCAATTTGAGTATGGATGGGACTCTTTAAGAAAGACAGACTAATGGGTTTGAATATTACAAAATTCTTATTACAGCACTATAATTAAGATACCTTATGTTTTCATCAATAAATTAAGATACTCTATTTGAAGATTGAAAAAAAAAAAAAATCAGACCATCAAAATTCACTTGACGATGAAAAAAATTTCTTCGCTGTAATACAATGAAGATTAGAAATTCTAGCCTATTAAGATTGTAGCTATAATGGGACTTTTAAAACTACTTTTATTTTCTTTTTTGAAGTGATCAATTTAAAACACACAATTTAGAAGACAGTAAAACCATTTGTATTAAGAGAAGAAGAAGAAGCCAGTAAAACTATCTCTTGCTAGCATTATAAGATCATTTCGTTTTGTACAGTGAGATAGTGACATTGAGCGCGTTGTTGGGAAGAACAAACGCTGCTGGTTGTGATCTTCACCACCTCATCTTCAAACGTGACCGCGAAACTTAGATAAACTTATTTCATGTATTTGTTATTAATTTTTATAATAAAATCTCTCGCAAAATGTTTTTTTTTTTTGGCGATTCAACTTTATAGTGTTGGGATGAGGTCTCTAATGCTTTTCTGAATCTCGAAGAGAAGGTCAGGGATAGGTACCATGTGAACCCTATCCAAGTGTCTATCAATCTTTGAGAAGCGCTCCGAGCAAAAGAGATTGGGTCCGTCATGTTTAGTGATGTGAACTTTCAATATTTAATTAGATAATTTATTAAAGAAAAATTACAAATTATACTTAATTTGGCCTTGAAAATATGTCAGAATGAAGCAAATGAAGTGATCTAAGAAATGGATCAGAATATCATGTATTTTTTTTTTTGTTACTTTCTTTAGTATATAAATAGTTGAGTATAGACTATAAGTACAAGCAAGCATACCTGAGGAGATAAGTACAATTCCAACCCGACTCTACACGCACTTTAATTAGCAAGTTAACAAACTCTCTTCTCTTTTCGCAAATAATACAAATTTGTTGATCAGTTGATCTCCTTCCTTCTTTACTCTCCTATACCTGAAAACCAGTGGACTCAACCATACCATCATCTTCAAATACAATTATACATGTATGTACGTATTAATGCATGTTTCACTTCTTGCTTTAGAAAAACCAAGGAGCAAGATTAGTAATTTTCTTGGTTTTTATATGTATGGCCCATGAGAGCAATTAATCATCATTGTTTTAGGGGTGAAACCGGCCTTGAGGTTGAGGGGGGCCAATTGTTTTTAGAAAAAATATGCGCAAGCATATATTGTTAATTTGAATTTTTACATTCTTTATAAATAATTTTTTTAAAAAATAAATTACAACTTTTAAAACTAATGATAATTATGTACAAGGAAATACTTACATATTTATCCTTATATATATATATATATATATTTCTTTCAATTAAATCAAAATAAATGGGTCTTAAAGTGTTAATAATGTTAATAATAAAAGTTTGTTATAGAATAAATAATATATAAAAAAATTCATAAGTCTTAATTTTCAAGTCATTTTCAACATATTTTATAACAAACTCTTATTATCACTCTCTGAGGTCCCATACAAGCAATCTAAATAGTAAAAGCTTCCTGAAATATTATCATTGAAGTGATAATTTTAAAAATGGAAATATTTTAATAAAGTAATATAATAAATGTTTTATTCTTACTTAAAATAAATGAATTAGACACTATAACTAACTAATATGTTTATAGTTTTACTTACAAGTCACTTCTAATATGTTTTATCAAAATATAAAAAATAAAATTTATTAATTTTATTTAAAAATTTAATAAGTTTTACTTTATCTCCTATTAAATATGTATGCTTTAATAATATATTTCTCTCACCAATTTTTAATGAAGGGTAAAAAATGAAAACTTATAGTAAAAATTTAATTACATGATTTATTAATAGGACAAAAAAAACTTTTCTTTACCGTATAAATAAAATAAAAGGAAATATTACATAAGTGTGTGTAAATATTTCATCCAGGTATATTAAACTTTAAATATATTAGATCCATACAAATGCAAATAAGAGGGAAGAAGCTGGGGGAGGGGGCATGGCCCCCTCACAATGCATGTGTACACCCCTGATTACCTAATTAGGTAGATTATTTTCTTTAGAACATGGTGGGCCTGTCTGATTTTTTTGTGATGATATTGATCACAGTGAAATAAATTCTTTTTATTGAAATTATGACTCAAATTTTTATAATTCTCTGTGGTTATTTTTATATATTATTTAATATAAATATATTATATCTTTATTTGATATTTTAGGAGATATTTATTGTTATCCAAAATAATATTTTTAACTGATATAAAGCTTTAAAAATATATATATATATATATATCTTATCTTTTCATCTCTCACGGTAGAGATAATTATTATAATTTTCATTTTTTATATCAAAATTATTATAATTTCTATTTTTTCTGGAAAAAGATAAGTCTTCTTTTCTTTTGAAGAAAGACAAAAATTATTAAAGCGAAGTGGTACCTTGGGCACTAAAAACTGAGATATGGTCAATTTTAAGATCACTCACTTGAATAAATGGAAACTTATCACCTGATCTTGTCCATGAAAAGAAGCTTTCAATTTCGATCCCAAACCAATAACATACCAGAAACATACCTTCTTTATCATGTTTATAGTGGAAATTAAAGCAGAGATGGTCATCAGTGAAATCCTTTTGAACGTCATGATAGTGTCTCCCAATTATTTCATCCAATACACAGCACTTTTAATCTTAAAAGTCTTCCCATTCAATATAATATTACTTAATTAATTAATATTCATACACGCTGCTCCCTCTACGGTTCTGATCCTTTGCATGGATTACTCTCCTCTCTCTCTCTGATATATTTCATGTCAAATCCATTCAGCTCAGCAGATTTCCAGTCCAGCTCCCATTAATCATGAGATTTTCGTAGAGTACTTACGATAAGTGTTCTGCAATTTCGGTGTACTACTTTTATTTTCTATCCTTTTTCTCTTTTTCGAATCTTAGCTTTTAAAAGGTTTAAAAAGGGGGAACAATTACTTGAATAGTTACGTAATCTTAGTGCGGGCTTTCATGGGATTGAGTTAGAATTGTACATGCATACGTAACGGTAAGAAACGCGGTGTGATTATGGCTTTCATATCATATTATAGGACATATATGTTTGGCGAACTTATACATGCGTTCGTAGAAGTTCAAGGGACCATTGTGGCTGATGAGATTGCTTGACGAACTTATAGTGGCGAGTATTTATTATAGCTTATCTCAGTCTTGGTCACATATATAGTTTGCGAGGTTTTCATACTTGAATAGATTGATTAAATCAAATAAACAGGAAAAATCTGTAGTATAAAGCATGATAATTCATTGAACAACAGAAAGTACGTAAGCTACCGAATTTTGTTGGTTGGATCACTGAGAATCAGTTCTCACAAAACACAAAAAGCCCAGAAACTCAATCACCTATATGATCACCAAAGATAAAGAACCAAAAACGTGAGTACGTGACACTTACAATTAATCGATCCGTCCTGCACATCGACAGACATGTGGGAACTGTACATAGTCAAAAGAAAAGTGGTATCCATCTCATTGAAGCACCACACACACAGCAAGTATGGCGAAAAGCATCTCTGCAACCTTGCCTCCTGATCATGATTATGTCTTGGATATATAGGATTGTCTGTAACCTCTGCGAGCCTGAGTGTGTGTGTAGCGTGTGCGCGTGTGCCATGACATGTTACTCCACGTCTTTTGGTTTGTTCCTGATGCTAATCTGCTGCCTAATGTAAGGACAATCCACCACCAGCCCAGTGCAATTGTGGTGCCGAGTATTGACCCAACCCTTTTTAACTTTGAATCCCCATAATATCACAGAAAATAAAAGTTGGGATTGAGTAGGAAATTCACTTTAAGCTCAAATGGTGGTGGAACATAAAGAAGATGATAAAGTGACATTGAAATGGCAAAGAAAGGTGGCCACAGTGTGGAAGAGTCCTTTTTAATTAAGATTGTCGTTAGCTTGATCAAGGATGACTTGCATGCACATGCATGTCTGGCAAACTAGAAAGTGGTCTGAGTCCATTTGACCATTTTCAGCTGAGTATTTGTCACTGTAGGCCATCATATCAACATCAGTTTAGCTAGCAACTCCATCCTATTAGTTCTGATATTTGGAATATCCTCTTTGGATAATGTGGCATGCGCGTATAGGACTCGAGTTATGGAGGATCAAGTAAGTGAGGAAATTTGGGTTCCGCACTCTTAACACAATTTCTGCTCGTCAAGGATCCGATCAAAAGCTGAAGTTGATGCTAAAAATATAACTTTATTATTTTGAGTGTAAATGAGTAAATTACCTTTGAATTTTAGGTCTAATAACACTATAGACTTTGAATTCGTACAAATTGTTCTCTCAATTTTTCAAAAAGTAATGCAATTTAGTTCTTAATGTTAACAATTTTAACCATTAGTTAATTGGATACTGATAGAAGACAACTTCAAGAATCATAGAAAAAGACCAAATTTTTCTGGTCCTTTCATGTAACTTTTAGGTCCTTGTCTTTAATTTTTGAATCCTTTATTATAATTTTTGTTGCCCTTTTCTATAATTTTTGAGATCTTGTTCTATCATTTTATGGTTAATTAATAATCAAAGTTAACTTTTGTTAATAGCAAAGGTTAAATTGCACTGTTTTAAAAAATTGATGAAACAATTTGCATAATAAATAAGTTTAGGGTCAATGGCATTACTTAATCTAAGTTCATGGGATAATTTGTTTATTTAGCCTATTATTTTTAATAGATTTTTAAAAGATGTGTCTGATATGATCGAGGGACTGCGCTCATCATAAGCACCACAGTTTAAAGATGTCAATTAAACAAGCAATTATAATGAGATACTTGACCGAGAATCCAACAAACAGTAACAACTTTTTTTTGTCCCGTTAAAGAGCTAAAGCCAAGTCCTCTGCTATATAATTAACCACCAAAGGGACTGAGAGTATCTCCTGACTATACAGACTGAAAAGGCCAAACTAAGTACAATATTCACTTCTACATGAAGAAGCAGAATCCCTTTTGGTTTCAGTTCTTATTTCCCTCTTCTTTGTCGTCCCTTCAGTAACAAGCTTCAGAGTGCAGAAAAACTTCATTTTTCCTTTTCTTCTCAATTTTCCATCTCACATGGCTGGCGGGCAGAGACCCCAGGGGTTTAACAAATCGTGTATACTGCTCATAGGTAAGCCATATTTATGTCTACTTTCTCATTTTCCAACCATAATACACTTACATTTCATCATCATGAACGAGAAAAACAGATCGAAGTACGGATTCTTATTTCCTTTGATATCAGATAAAGGCTGATCAGAAGTTCGACTGACATGCATATTAATTCCAATATGTTCTTCTGGCCCCATGTTTCTGTATATATTAGAAGCATAACATGTGGTTTTTGATATGTATGACAGTTATTGCTGGTATAGAGAGATTTGCATTCAAGGGGGTGGCGTCAAACTTAGTGACATATCTAACAGATGTAGTGAAGATGAGCAACTCGTCTGCCGCGAAGATGGTGAATAGTTGGTGTGGATTCACCTCCATAATGCCACTGTTTGTAGCTCCCATTTCTGACGCTTATTTCCACAAATACTCCACCATCATGCTCTCTTCTTTCCTCTATGTTACTGTAAGTTACTCTCCCCAATCTATTATCTGTTTTTTTTTTTTCCAGAATACATCAATACAAAGTTTATATAGGAAATGATTGATGCATGTTTTCCTAGAATTGTTTACTTTTGAGAGTGACACAAAAAGTGAGAATGTCTGTGAAACAAATCAACTTCGGTTCTTTCTTTGTCCTCCCTATTCTCTCCTCTCTCTCTCTCTCTCTCTCTCTCTGAGTTCTACAAGAACTTCACAATATTATATAGAAGATTCAAATTCATAATCTTTTTTTCGAACGAAACAAATTCATAATCTTTAAGGGGATGTTTTGTTGCTGGAAAAAAATGAGGTGGAATATTGGATTAAAAAGATAAAGACAATAACAAAATGATCAAAATATGAAGGGAAAATAAGTCAATCATATTTATGAGAAGGGAAAAGTTAATTTAACTCGTAAGATTAAAAGTTATAATTCAAGAGATTTATAAAAGATGTGGTAATTCCCATATTAGGGGGAGGATAATTTAGTTCATCATTCTATCTTCATCCTTTCTAATAATTAAATGGTTTTTAATTTTTCTTAATTTTTTATGTCTGATTAGTCTGTTTGTTCTTTAATTGAACGTTGTTCATAATTTAGTTGATTTTTTTTTTTGCTATATCAGATGAAGATGATAATTCATAAAGGTATTGGAGTATGAGTCATGCATGCTTTACCAACCTTTTTTTCCCCATTAACATGCTTTACAACTTTCATAATTAAGTGGATATATTTTTTTTTACTTCAAAATTGTCCTATTAGGAATAGACATATAAAGTATTAATTCATCTTATACTTACATTTTTTTTGAAAATTCAACAAAAATGATTTAATTGACATGGATTAATCGACTCACACCCCGTAAGTGTATCGAGTCAAACCTGCTGTTGGCATCATTATCTTATTAATTAGTGATGTGATGAGATGGAAAATGTTACTTTGTTAATTGTTAATGTCCCCGGCATATACAGATGTACTTTCCATAGCTGTCAACTTATGGTCATGGGAGCTTTTAGTGTGAAGATATTTTCCCCAATAATTTGGTTAAACCAGGTCACTTAAACTTTTATCAAAAATAATAAAAATTAATCTGATGATAAACAAAATGGAAAAGGTTATTTCATTTTGTTTCTGTGTGGATCCTCGTACCCAGGGACTTGCAGCATTGACAATAACAGCAGTGGGAAGGACGAGGCCGAATCGACACAGGACAATAATAATGCCATCCTCGTTTCTAACTTTGTCTCTTTACGTAATTTCATTGGGACAAGGTGGTTATAATCCCTCTCTGCAAGCATTCGGAGCAGACCAGCTGGATGACGAGGAGGAATTACCATGTAGCAAGGACGATCAAAACTCCAATACGAAGACACTGTTCTTCCAGTGGTGGTACTTCGGTATATGTGGCGGAAGCCTATTGGGCGTCACCATCATGTCCTACGTCCAAGACACCTTTGGCTGGGTCCTAGGTTTCGCCATCCCTACCATCTCAATGGGTCTCTCTATTCTCATTTTCTCGTTTGGAAGCCCTATCTATTTGTTCAAACAACACCACCATTCTAAAACTTCTAACAAATCCTTTATCAACCTGCTCCACGCAATCAAAGCTTCTATTCTCAGACGCTTCCATGGCGGAACAACCCCACCTATCGACAAGTCTGAAGTATCCGAGCTCGAGTAAGTTCCCGCTTTCCAAATTATGGATGTCATACTTTCGTCGCTTGGAAAGTCATGTGTTTACTGTAACTCGCATAAGTTGACTGTTAAATTTCTTGTGACAGACTGCAAGAGAAGTCGTTGTGTCATGAAAACATGGACAACATTCCCAAGAGGAGGATGTTCATGGTTTCGAATGCCAAGGTCGTGCTTCGGCTTTTGCCGATATGGACAATGCTTCTGATGTTCGCGGTCATCTTCCAACAGCCTGCCACGTTCTTCACAAAGCAAGGAATGACGATGAAGAGGAACATAGGTGGCAAGTTCAAGATCCCACCCGCCACACTTCAGAGTGCCATCACGCTCTCCATAATTCTATTAATGCCATTATACAACAGAGTCTTCATACCACTGGCTCAGATCATCACGCGTCAGGAGAAGGGCATAAGCGTGATGCAAAGGATGGGAATAGGAATGGTGCTTTCAATCATAGCCATGGTTATTGCAGCTCTGGTTGAAAGGAAGAGACTTGAAATGGGGAGAGAGATGAAGACCGAAACGGTACCATTGAGCATATTCTGGCTGCTTCCGCAGTACATACTTCTGGGGATTTCGGACATTTTCACTGTGGTGGGAATGCAGGAGTTCTTCTACAGTGAAGTTCCAGTGGCCATGAGAACGATGGGGATTGCACTGTACACCAGTGTTTTTGGGGTTGGAAGCTTCGTCAGTGCACTGTTGATCACGCTTGTGGAAGTGTTTACGAGTTCAAGAGGGAAAACAAGTTGGTTCTCTGATGATATGAATGAAGCACGCTTGGACAATTATTATTGGCTTCTTACGTTGTTAAGTGGAGTAAGCTTGGTAGTATATGTGGTGTTGTGTATATTTTACCAACACCATAAGAGTGACTCGCAGAATGAAAATTGAGTTTTCTCTCCTCTGGCATTTTGTTTTTGGCTCTTCTTTAATTTGTCAACCTGCGTACTTGACTTGATTTCTAATGATAGTGATGTACATGTGTGTGTGTGTGTTTATGCTTTCTGTCTATTTGTGTCCCTAACTCCTAATTTTCTATTTTCTTTGCTACCATGGAATGTGGAATATTCAACAATGTTATAATCCAAGCAGAAAAATCAAGAAAGTAGGAAGAAAGACTTGTCAAGGCTGTTTTCCCCCCTCCATGAGTGGCTTTTATATCTCACTTCTTGTGTATTTGTTCTAATCTAACCAATAATTTACTACCGTTGATATCTCATAATTTCTTTCTATTTGATTCTTGCCACGCTAAAAGGTAGAATTTGTGGGCTTGTTTAAAACTGTTTTATTTTATTATTTTAAAAATTAGTGTTTTGTATATCATGTTTTGAAAAAAGCAATGATGAAAACAAGTGTTTTTTAATTCTTTTTTATTCTTCGTAATAATAATCTCATAACATTTAAAATATGTTTTCGGTTTTCTATTCTAAAAAATAACATTTATTTTTTTTTGACACTTTTTGAAAATATGTTGTTAAACAATTTTTTTGTTTTTTATTCTGAAAAATAAAACATTATTTTCAAAATAGTTTGCCAAACAACCACTACATTGCTTCAAGCTTTTCTTTTTGGCTTAAAAAAAAATTGTCTTGGAAGAAGGATCACACTTCCATTAGGAATCTCTGTAAGGCAGGTGAAATGAACTCAAGTTAATTAATCTACGACTCAGATGTGAAAGCCAACAATCCCAATAATTGAAAGGCCGTAATCAAAGAATATTATAAGGGAGCGTTACAACCTGCAAACAGCTACTAGACATTACATTGTCTCCTACCTTTAAGGCCACATATAGTTATGTGTAACAGCTAACTGCTAACCAATCCCAAGTCCCAAACCATATGCAAATATATATATTTTTGTATTACAGTCACATGTATATTAAAGAATTTATTAAAAACAGCTTATGACAATATCACTTTTTTATAGAGAAAATTACATCTAGATCCTATAAAAAAGAATTTATTACTAAAAATCTTATAAAATTTACAAAATACTTTTAAGTTTTGAGTCTTGCATGTTTACAACTTGGCAACGAGAATTGTAAGTTATAAATGTTTATTACCATTTATAAATGCGCAGGATTCAAGACTTTAAAGTATTTTATAAATTTTATGAGACTTTTTTAGATAATAAATTTTTTCATTAGTGTAATTTTCCCTTTCTTCTGCCTTTTCATTTCTAAAATTCAATCAATAGTTTACACTTGACAAATCATGCATTGAAAAAGAAAGAAAGAAAGAAAGAAAGAAAGGTTCACCTAGATTTTACTTTAAGTGGTGTGTTTTAGTCCCAAAATAAGTCACCAACTGTGTCCGGACATGACAACTTACATTGGCGTAAAATAAGTACATAGGATTTGAGAGTATACCTCGAAAGTAATTAACATCCTGAGATTAGAGTTCCCCTCAAAACTCAAAGGTAACATCCTTAGCCAAAACACAAGATAAAGCTAATACTTTATATTATATACTGTAGAAGTACATGAACGTCTGGTCGTGCCTTCCAAGATGATGAAGCACAGCACAGACTACAGATACCACAGAGGTTCATAACGCTACAAAGCACGAGAGCAGGGGACGGGCCACATTCCTATGGTATAAACCACAGTGGACGATGAAGGAAACTAACTGGCAGGAGAGCTTGGCTTGATATTCACAGATAACTTATTTGATTCAGAGGACATCATGTTCTACAGTACATAGAATCCTCTGTACCCTTTATTAAACACAAAATCCACACCGATGTAGGTGGTGCATTCTGGGCAGAGAAAGACTCCGTGTCATGAACATCAGGAGCGGATAATACATGGAGCACACCTAGCCCATCTGAACAGCTTCAAATAGTGCCTCTTCTTGCTTTTTCCAGGAGATCCAGTCAACTCTGACTCGTTTCTTTTCAGCATCTCCCACATAACATGTATATCATGATATTCAGAAGCCTTCACTTCATTTCGTATTTTCAGCAATCCTGCACATTTTTCCAAAGTCCACCTCTAACATCAATCGCTAGCAACTTCTCTAATTGTACAGAACAAAACTCGGGTACTAATTATCTATGATAAACAACAGAAACTAGTAATATTCCTCATATCTGTTGTTCTGTTGGGGGAAAAAAACCCCAAAGAACTATCATATTATTATGTTTTGGCCCTCTGTAGCTTTAGACTCCTGGTTAATTTCTCGAGTTTCACAACATTAAAGGCAGTACCTAATAGTCGTTCTGCATCGGCTTCTTTATGGGTCTGTAATGAAAACAACGGAAACTTAAAGCACACATCACAAATTAACATTGTTATAAATTTAACTTCCAGCAGGGTTCATATATATCGTTCCATGCGAGTAACAAGCATCAGAAACAGCTTCTTGTCAATCTAATTTCTTTTCATCACAGAAGAACTGAATCAAATCAGGATCGTCCCTGTCCATCACTGAGAAAAACAGTCAAATTATTACAACACCCTGCCTCAACCATAATCAGGATTGTCCCAAACATGCTTGAAACTGCTATTACAACTGCAACTACAATTACACCGCATCAGAACCTTAATCTTAACCAACAGCCAATGCTGTAAGTCACTATTTATAATAATATCACTTGTTTGTTATAAATAAGTCCAGAGATAGTACCATCTAATTAATCATCAAACAAAATTCCCAAAAACATCAACAAGGCGAGAGAAGAAGAGGCGACAGGGCACCATCAACCCCAAGGAGAAGAGGAGGAGCTTACCTGTTTTGCGAATGCCGAGGCGGGTAGCGATGCTAATCCAAACACTACGCATCGGGTGGACTAGCTTATCCCACCACTCCATCTGCCGTAGAAGGAGGAGACTCAAGCGCAGATCAAGATCACGCTCCCTCACCACGAGTCCAGAATGTTCGAACCCGCAACCCCCTCCTCTATATTCCCACCAAAAAATTTCAAAAAAAGAAAAACACAATTTAAATGAACATGAGAAGAAAGAGTAGTTTCATTTCATCAACAGAATAGTGACAATTTAAAAAAATAATAATAAGAAATTCAACCAAAAGGGAAAAACGAAAGGAACAGATTGACCAGGGTGAAGTAACGAACCGCGTGAAAACTTGTTAGCGCTGTGTCAGTATACTCCTCCTAAGAGAAATGAGTGAAGGATGTGGATCGTAAAGAAAGCCTGGGCTCAACGACGAATGCCACGTGTCGGGCTCACAGAATTCTATGGTCAGGTTGTAATCGCGTCGGTTGGGACGTTCTGTCTTCCGTGCTGTGATGGGCCTGTACACGTCGTGCCATCTTCCGGCTACGTGGAGATTCAGTATTGGTGTTTTGTTTCCATGGCTCGTCGACGCGTGAAAAAATTATAAGGTCCTCGAGTAGTCGAGTTTCCCGTACGATTATAATTTTATCAATCAAAATGTCCTATGCTAACAGTTTCATATCATTGGTCCCCAAAAAAAAAAAATTCCGTACCAATCATCAATCAGAAGATGCTAAAGTACAAGAATGCTAATTTCTTTTATAAAAGGTCAAAGATAATAAATTAGTAATGTGCCTATATATTCTCGAGCATTAACAGTGGCATGTTTCCTCTATTATCATCATTTATCAATGGCTTTGACTTGTCCCATTGGCCAAAAAAAATGGCTTGATGAATTTTTTTTTACTATATTTCCAAAATTTAAGTGAGTTGGGTTTAAGAGTTATTGGATCAAGACATATTTTCAAATTTAAAAAATACTTATAGAGATATTTGTAAATTACCTACGATCTTATAACTCAAAAAATATTTTTTTGTTAGTCATTAGTATTAAAGTTCAATGTGTAAACTGCATAGTTTATACCTTTTAAATAATATACGGCTCCCTACCTCGTCAAATATGTACAACGAAATAGAAGAATTCTGTCACTCTCTCTTATTCTAAATATAAAACTTGGTTGAGAGTTTTGTTTTGATTCTAAATAGATCCCAATCTTCTCTGACGATCTCTCCCATTTAATATTTTTTTCCCTCAAATTAAATTTATTAATTTCACATTTTTTTTCACTCCCTTGATCTCTCATATTTACACCTATGTTGATGTAGGAAAGTAAGAAATTTTTTTAAGGATGTATATGAACAAAGTAAAAACTTATTTAATTTGTAGATAAAATTAATAAATTTTAAGATTTTGTTAAGGTTATTGGAGCGTTGATTTTTTCTTTTTTATCAATATTAAAATAATAATTTTAATTTCATCAGCTGATTTAGTTAACGGTGCAAATTGAGGTATGGTGTGGAGGGAGGGGGGATATTGGCAGGAGCTATCTCACCCAAGTTTTTAAGTTCTTTTTTTATATTATTGTTTGCACTCAAATTGTAAATTTGGAGGCATGAGATTGACTTAATTTAATTAACTTTAAAATAATTATAAAAAAATAAAATATTTATGAAACCTTAGGCATTAAGTCAAAACCATCACTCATGATGAGCGACCATGATGAAAAAAGTGCTTTCTAAATTTAAAAAAATGATGATAATTGTGTTTGGACACCAAGCCAGGATCATTTATAAATAGAAGAACTTTCTCTCAACAATCATTATGAGCATCAACAAATAACCAGTCTTAGACTTCATGTCTGTTACTTTATTTTACTTTTTCTTTTATCATGTAATTTTAATCTTTATTTTTCTATTGTACGGCTATCATAGCCTGCCACCTCTTTCTTTAATTAATATATCTCTGTTTCCTTGCATTTGCATTAATTTTCTTTATTTCTCATTTTCATATTTGGGTGAATTGTGGTAACAGAGCCCAGGTTCCTGCATTTGAATAGAAATTAGATTCTTCTATCTTTTTGAGACCCCGCGTCTCTGGCATGCGTCACGACACCACGCCTGATTGTTTTTCATGAACTATTTTTGGCACGCACAGTGGGACTCGTGTGAAAGAATGCCAAAGACACATAAGGATCAATATGTTATTAGAAAAAATAGACCTGAGTCTTATACACAGGACATGAAGTAGAAGCTAACAAGAGGTAAAGAGCTTTGTTACAAACTCTAAAGGATGGACTGAGGAATATCTTTGCTATACTGTCTAGATCATCACAAGAGCAAGCTTCAATTGGCTCACACCTTTAAAGAATAAATGGACTCCGCGGGCAGCCTCCTAAAGTGCCCTTTAACAAGCACCAGTATAACATTCCTCAAAGGATAAATGGCAACTCTAATTTAATAGTAGGCCTGTTTGGCCACAAGGATCAGAGCCATTGGGGCTAATACCATAAGGGTCGAAGCCACAAGAGCCGGAGCTATCAGGGCTAGCACCACAAGGGTCAAAGCCACAAGGACCATAATCATCGGGGACAAAGTCATTGAGGCCAACACCATAGGGCTGGAGCCACCGGGGCTGGCACCACAGGGGTTGGAGCCACAAAGGCCGGAGTCATTGGAGTCAGCACCATCAAGTCTAGAGCTATATAGGATTTCAATTTGATTATTTAATGTTAGAGAACTAAAGTATATTTTTAGTTCTCTAACATTATATAAGATTTCAATTTGATTATTTAATTTTGTAAAATATTTTCTTAATCCTTCAATCCTAATATTATTAATTTTAAATGATTATTGTTTGTGTCAATCATTGTTATTTTTTAAAAAGCTAAACTTAATATGTCAACATTTGAATATGTTTTGTCAATATTTAAAAATTTAATATAAAAATTTGTTAGGATAAAACTAATAGTATTAGGATTAAAAGACTAAAAAGACACTTTATAAAGTTAAGGTACTAAAATGAAATATTATGAAAAATTAAAGGACTAAATGTATGTATAGTTTAGCCTTTCAGAAAATTTAAGTGTTAAATATCCATTACGTCCTTATTATAATTAACTAACTTTAATTAACTCAGATCGGGCGGGAAAAAAAAAAAAACCAGAGATCGAGAGATTAGCTGTTTAGCAGGACAGTTCCACGTTTAACTGAAATTAAAGCAACAGTTCTAATTTCTTGTGAAATTGTGAATGGGAATAAGTTCTGGAAGACCAACTAAGTAAGACAAATAAGTCGACTAATCAATGATCATGAAAGAAAATTATGCTTATGAGAGAGGCAAGGAAGCTTGAAACGTGGTTGTCTCTGGCTCTTTTAGCTACGCGGTGAGTCCCCCCAAAATGATAAAGTGCTTCTCTAATTTTTAGGTGTTTTACTTTTAAGAGGCAGTGACGATACCGTGACACTTGACGAGCTTCAAGCATAGAGGAAGATCACTACTGGTCGAGTAGCGTCCGAAATTATGTCAAGTAATGATGAATTTTACGAACAAGCATATTTGTATTCTAAGTCATTTAAATATCATATCGAAGAACTGAATATAAAGTTAGGGCGTTGATGGCTTGTTTCATCTATTGGTTCGGCGATATAACTTATTTTAGTAAGTTGGGTCCCCACTCGTAACTGAACAAGAAAAATAAAAATAGCCACAACACACGGCTGGACAAACAAACGAACGCGTTCACTCCACTGGAAAAAAGAAGTTTAGGGTATTGCGGTTGTCCTTCAGTTTTTCAGTTATGTGTTAATGCTCAATATATATGATAAGGATCAATTAAAATAGTACTCTTGAGATTGGAGAAACTAAGGTTATCATGATAAGAAAAAGGTGCAAGAAAGGATAAGCCTTCAATTTGGCAAAGTTCAGCTTTCAAGGCGACCTCCAGTTTCATTAAAATGGAGGGAGGGACTACTAGGCTGGACAAGAAGGTCTCAAAATATTATTGCTGATGATGACGAACTCTTGCTTTGCTTTTTTCCCACCAATTGTGTTATACATAAGCAGAATGATTATTTCTTTTATTGTTTCAGGATGTTTCTGTGGCAGTGACAATACTACTAGCATTTCAGAGTCAGCCTAGGAATCGTGTACGGTGACATCGGAACATCACCCTTGTACGTTCTGTCCAGCATGTTCAGCGGTGGAATCAATTACATTGAGGACATTTTAGGTGCTCTCTCTTTGATTTTCTACACCGTCACGCTCCTTCCTCTCATCAAATATGTCTGGATCGTCTTGCAAGCTACTGACAATGGTGAAGGTATACATACAAGTAATATATTATTAATTACTAGCTAGAACAGCAGTAGTGATAGTAATTTCTCATCAACTGTTGGAAAACATATATACAGGAGGGACGTTTGCATTGTATTCTCATATTTACCGATATGCAAAAGTGAGTTTGATACCGAATGGACAAGAGAAAGACACTAAGGTGTCGAATTATCGGCTGGAGCGAGCAGATTGCAGGACAAAGAGGGCTTCTGGCATCAAGTCTTCATTGGAGAGAAGCCAATATGCTAAGTTCATTCTCTTGATTGTCACTATGCTTGGTACCTCCATGTTCATTGGTGATGGAGTCGTCACCCCTTGCATCTTTGGTTTGTCACCTGTTTGCTTTCTTATTCGGTAAATATGGTGTGTGTATATATGCCACAAAAAAAAAAAAAAAATCATTTCTGTCCAAGTTAATGAAAAATCATTTTCGCTTGCTGCAGTTTGATCTGCCGTTGGAGGCATCAAGAGGGCGACCCGATCAATAACAGATGGTAAATATATGAATTTACTTGCAAAGCAATACATGGCTTGACTTACAAGTAATTAATCTCTGTTGCTTGTTCGCAGATGTTGTGGTTTGGATACCTGTAGTCATCCTCGTCCTCTTGTTTGTGGTTCAAAGATATGGAACTGATAAAGTGGGAAACAATTTTGCTCCGATTCTCCTTAAGTGGTTCACCTGTATTGCAAGCATTGGTCTTTACAATTTCATCAAGTATGAACCATCCGTCATTAAAGCTGTTAATCCATATTATATTGTGAAATACTTCCAAAAGAACAGGACAGAGGCATGGATTTCTCTTGGAGGCATTGTGATGTGCATAACAGGTTCTCTACAGCTTTCATTTTTCTATATATGTTCGATCTAGAATAATAATATCTTTATTATACTATGGACAAAAGAGTAGATCATGTGGTATAGCCATCAATAATTATCCTTGCGTGGGGTTGGTGGAAAATTGCGTGCAGGAGCTGAAGCCATGTTCGCCGATGTGGGACATTTCTCAGTAAAGGCGATACAGATCAGTGTGCGCTCTATTGTTTATCCTTCTCTCATGAGAGCCTACTGTCACAATCTCTATTCAGAAAGAGAAGAAATTATAAGGTTACGGTGCTTTTAGAGACGTCCAGGACGATGGAAAGATTTTTAAAAGAATCCAAAACATTCAAGAAGAATTTAGTATGTTCTAGAATGTTCTA